CCGTCGGGGGCGCGGGGTCCCCCCAGCGCTGCGGAGCCGCATGAACAATAGGCGGCGGCGGCTCCTGCGGGCGGCGGCCGCCCTGCACCCTATGGATCGGCCGCTCCATGGAGCCCTCCAGAGCGCTTCTCGGCTGCCTGGCGAGCGCCGCCGCCGCTGCCGCCCCGCCGGGGGAGGATGGAGCGGGGACCGCGGCCGACGAGGAAGAGGAGGAGGAGGAGGAGGCGGCGGCGGCGGCCTCGGCCGAGCTGGGCTCCGACGCCCCGCTGCCCTACTGGACAGCCGTGTTCGAGTACGAGGCGGCGGGCGAGGACGAGCTGACCCTGAGGCTGGGCGACGTGGTGGAGGTGCTGTCCAAGGACTCGCAGGTGTCCGGCGACGAGGGCTGGTGGACCGGGCAGCTCAACCAGCGGGTGGGCATCTTCCCCAGCAACTACGTGACCCCGCGCAGCGCCTTCTCCAGCCGTTGCCAGCCGGGCGCGGAGGACCCCAGCTGCTACCCGCCCATTCAGTGTAAGGCGAAGGCGGGCCCGGCGGCCAGGGGGAGGATGGAGGCCTGGGGTAGTCGAGGGAGAGGGGAGGAACCGGTCGCGAGGGTTAGGTTAGGGGTGGCGAATAATTGACCCGGGGGCTTCAGCCAGTGCCCTCCATGAGCTAGGGATGCCTCAGGCCCTGCCCTGGAATTCCTGCTTCTACACCTTTATCCGACTCCTTCTAGCAACTCCTGATTACATCCTGACGCTCCCGCCCCTTCCTCCTCGTGCCCCTCCAGATCGGGAAGGGTGATTACTGTCATCTGTAACCTTAGTCCCCAAGTCAAGGACCTGGCCGACCTCTTCTGTAGCTTGTCCCCGCCTCTTAAAGGTATTTGCTTTGAGAGGTGGAGGTGCCTCCAGCCTGGCTGGGCAGGCTCACAAGTCCCGGAAGAATGTGTGAACTCAAGACTGAGGTGCCTTTAAAATCTCGTATTGATTTCTTGGATTTTTATCCTGTGTCTCAAAGTTGTACATTTTAGGAGTTTCTCTGAATAATGTGTTAAGAAAGGTGTGTGTGTGTGTGTGGGGTGAGGGGGGAAGGGTACAAAGTCATGCACGAAGAAATGATTAGAAAGAAAAAATATGTCGTTCCCTTGTGGGGGTTAAGGAACACACTGTACAGAGGCCAAGTCCCTGTCCCTTACAGACATACCGTTCAGACAATACATTTTCTCTCGTCTTTTCATCCTAGATCCTTGTCTATAATTGGAATTGACCAAATCTCAGGGGGGACCAGGCCCAGAGTTCCCTCACAGAGCTTTTCTCCCTGTGTCCTGGTTTTCATCAATTTACCAGGAACTCCCAGTTCCACACCCCCAATGAAATTGGCATCCCCTCTCCCCACAGAGGAATTAAATTGCCTTTAAAATTCCTTGATCACCTATATACACTTGGTTGTTCTAGAAGAAAGATGCAAATCTCCTCTAGTACATTTTACGCACTTGAGTTTATATAATTCCCTGTTAGAAGACACTCTTCCTAAGTATTTATTAATGCTTATTACTTGTTTTGAATACTTGGCATCTTAGCTGATTTAAAATAATAATTACAAAGGGCCAACTTTGAGTAGTTGTAAATTTTCATCTGTAATAGTTATCTTTCTGATAACTGTTAATTCTGATAATTTCAACATGAGCAACTGCGTTACTTTAAAATGAGTTTTAAGTACTGGTAGTTAACGTAGTATCAAAATCCTGACTTCTTTGTTCTACTCTTTGGAGTTTTGACTGTCAAATTGACATTCACATCTCTAGCTCTTGTATGTCTCCTGTCATTCAATCCAAAGTTTCTTACATACATTTTGCTCTTTATAATGCCTGGAATGGCAAGTTACTTTAGATTGTTTCTGGGTGCTACATCTTTTTGGCAGTAGTACTGGTAAGATAAGGCCAATCAAAGGTCCTGGCATAGCGTTTTGAAATAGTGTTGGAGATGAGCTTGCCCATATGTTGGAAGACATGAACAGTCTGACATGTTAGGAAACACAGTGTGGTTTTGAGTATAAGTCACATTTTGAGCTTTTTGTGGGTGGAGTTCTGTGCCTTTATTTTTAGGGGTGGATAATGTGAGCGTGTACAAGTTATATGAAGTTCCTGAGCAGGCCCTCTGTTTCTTCAGCATCTTGTGTTCCTGACTGTCACAGCAGCCAGGAGCGAACATGACTTAGGCTAAAAGAACCTTTCCACAGAGAACCAGGCATGTCAACAGTGTGCTTCATCTAGAGGTGACTCCCTGTGATGTGGCCCAGGACTTACCTTTGTTGTCATAGAAGTTACATTGGATGGAGTGGATTCCTAAATCTAGAGCCTAGATGAGGGAGCTTGTGGTTGCTGAAAGAAACTTGTGGTTGTTGAAAGTTTTGGGCATGTCTAAGTCCTTAGTTCTCTAAATTGGCCTTACTGTGACTAGCATTAATTCTTGGCACCTCAAAGCCCTAGTTCCAATCAGAAGCTAATTCTTAGTACCTAGCGGGTGATAGATACTATGTTAAATACCAAGTGACAAAGGAATGGTAAGGAGGTGCTCCTGAGTTATGTGAGGGAGATTGGTGATATAAATATAACATTTCAGTGCAGTGCTTTGAAAAGACAGGTGTGCCGCTCATCTGTGAACTCTGTCCACCAGTTCAGTTAGTGCTACTCAGAAAATAAATACGATTGACAAGTCCTTGTCCCCCAAGACTTGGAATAAGGTAAAGCCACTGACAACACTTTCCTAGAGTAACCCTTTTGTGCTTTCCCTCTGGGGTTTGTATTATGACATTATGTTCTAGATTCCAAAGAGAGTGCACTAAGTCCAATCAAGCAGCGACATTTAGATTTGGATTTACAGTATTGTTTTCAAGTGAAAAATTTTTTTCATACTTTATTCAAAATAGAAGGGGAAATTAATCTTTTGCCCAAAGAAAAAATGTAATAGTGATACTATAAACCATTTCACACTTATATTCTATTTTTATTGCCTCCAATGTAAGTATTAGGGGTTAGTTCTACATGGAGGACAAATGGCCTGGGAGCTCATTCATCCTCTTTATTTTAGTGAAGGCTAAAAAAAATGTAAATCTCCTATCTGTCATCTTGGGAGATGCATTCCTGGGTATTAAAATGTTTCTCTTACACAAGTTTTAATTAATGTCTGTTTGCACACAGAGTATTAAGGTCATTATTAATTTACATTTGTTTTCTGAAATTCACAGATACGAGGATGTATATTTTAGATGTATAGTTTTATTTTTTTTTTGAAGATTTTTTTTCTTTATTTCTTTCCTTCTTTCCAAGACAGGGTCTCCCTGTAGCCCCAGCTGGCCTGGAACTCCCTATGACTGGCCTTGATCTCACAGAGATCCGCCTGCCTCTTCTTCTTGAGTGCTGGGATTAAAGGCATGCACCACCATGCCCAGCTTGCTTAAGACTTTTTGTGTTTGTATATATGTGTGTGTGTGTGCCTGTGTGTGTGGGTGTATGCACCTGTGCGGGCATGCACAGAGGACATCGGGTGTCCTGCTCTATCACTCTGCCTTATTCCCTTGAGACAGGGTCTCTCACTGGAGCATTTTTTCAACTAAGTTGGTGGCCAGCAAGCCCCAGCCACCCTCTTGTTTCTGCTCCCTTCCCCAGTGCTGACGTTATATGTGCTCATGGCTTCTCCACACTCTTTACCTGGGTGCTGGGGATCCAAACAAAGACCCCCAGGCTTGCACAGCAAGCACTGTCACCTGTTACCCACTGAAGCATTCACAGCCTAGGTTTTAACTTTTTTTTTTTTTTTTTGAAATAAGATCTCACTAGCCCAATCTGGCCTTGAACTTATGATCCTCCTGTATCTGTCTTCTGAGTGCTGGGATTACAGCTGTATGTCACCACACCTGGCTCTGCATATAAGATTTTGAAGTGAACAAGGTGCACCAGTCCCTTGACCCCAACCCATCAGAATGTGCTCGTGCTTTCAGTTTTTTTCAAACATGTAATATAGAGTCAATAACGTCTTGACTCCAACATGAAATAAGGTTTTGTTCTTGATATCCTCCCAAAGAAACTGAAAAATGTGCTCTCTGCAAGTTGACCTGATTCTTAAGCCAGGTCTTGAAGCTAATACAGAAAAGGGAAGGAGGCCCTACTTGCCCTCTACTGAAATCTAGTTCCTAAATGCCCATACCAAGGGTCAGCTTTGCAGGGAAAGAGAAAGTCCCCACTCCCCCTTCTGGATTATCTTTATATATTGGAAAACTGTGCTCTAGACTGTTCTTGCAGGCTGGCCACATTATTTTCCTTAACTAAATAGGGAAAAGCTGAGATCTTAGCTTCTACCCCAAAGAGGAGGTTATTGCTTTCCATTCCGCATTTGAGGGCTTATCTCTGAGGCATACCCCTGAGGAACTGTCCCTTTCAGCACCCTAGACCAGACTGGTATCCTTTACACCCTTGGGCATTTAGATAAACATTGAACACCTACTGTGTGTTGACACCTATGCTTCAGTGCAGAGAAAAAGAGGGAGAGTAGCAGAGAAATATAGTTAATGCAAAGAGTTGAGAGAACAGGGTAATAAATACAATTTATTGAAGAGGCACATAGCTTTTCACCAGTGTAAATGCTTGATAGGCAAAAAACAAAACAAAATAAAATAAAATGAACGTTCCTTTCCTCCAAGACCAAAGCAACTCTTAACACATATTTTTCAAAGGGGTTTCTAATTGCTCTTTAAAGTAGGCATGTTTTTCTCATTCATATAGATGACATCAGGCAAAATTTAGTAATTAGTCAGGATTCATTTTTAGGACTCAGAAACAGACTATTTTAAAGAAGAAATGGATTCAGCACAGGAAATTGGGTGCTTACAGAATTGTTGGAAGGGCTGGGAGAAGAGGCTTTTATGGGGAGAGCTCCCAAAACACCACAGAACTGGGCTACCAGGCAAGCTGCCACTGCTGGACTAGGGAAGACTCAGACTCTGGACTGAAGATGTCAACCTCAGGAACATCCTGTTGTGTCTACAGCCTGGAGATTAGGCAACCCCTTGGCCATGCAACCTTCCCTTCCACATCTACAAAGCTAGTGACCAGACACTTACATGCTGATTCAGGCAGCCGCACTTACCAAGAGATGCCATCTGAAGATGGTCTCCATCGCTCTTCTGCTTTGTAAATTTTCTGTGTCAGGTTGGCAGGACTTAATTCACACCCAGAAGTCTAGCTGTAAAGGAGCCTGGGATTTGTAGTTTTTTAGCTTTCTAGTCTCTCTAATACTGAAGGATGTGCTAGAAGGATTTTGGAGTGGATGCTGATTGCTAGTGTGTAGTTTGTAACACATCACTTATTCTCTAGGAGGACTGCCAAGTGAGACAATAGCTTTTTCCTTGTTTTTTTTCTTCTTTCTTTTCATGGTATTAGGGACTGAAACTAGGATCTTGGAGATGCTAAGCATGTACTCTGCTGCTGAACTGCACCCTAGTCCCAAGGAGTTATTTATTTATTTATTTAATTTTATGTGTAGGAGTGTTTTGCATATATCCATGTATGCCTGTTGCCTGGGACGGTTAGAGGGTATCTGATTTCCTGGAACTGGGGTTTCAGATGCTTGTGAGCTGCCAAGTTGGTGCTGGGACTGAACCTGGGTCCTGTGCAAGAGCAGCCAGTGCTTTTAACTGCTGAGCTTTTTCTCCAGCCCTGAGATAGCCTTTTAAACATTTGGAGCTTGTAGAGTCAAGATGGTTTCTGCTTTTGGTATGCCAAAAGACAAGCCCGTCTAACTTTCCCCCAGTTTCCTTGGTGCGGATTGACAGTTTTGTTGCAAAACACAAATGAATACCAGCGCTAGATAGGATTAGAAGTACTATAATTAAGCAAGAACAGGTTTTTGAGTTCCGCCAGCATCTGAGTGGAGAGCGGGGGTGTGGGGGGAGGGGGGAGGCTCTCCAAGGAAGGAAGGGAACAGTCAGCAGTGGGCAGTTCCTCTTTTTGTCTTGCCAAAAGCTAGAAATATGTCTTTGTTTTCTTAGATTTTTTTATTTAATGAAATGTGGTTATTCTGTTTCAGAAGGCCTCCCCTCTCCCTTTTAAAAACAAATCTAGGGGCTGGAGAGATGGCTCAGCGGTTAAGAACACTGGCTGTTCTTGCAGAAGACCCAGGTTCGAATCCGAACACCCATATGGCAGCTAACAACTGTCTGTAACTCCAGTTCCAGGGGATCTGACAGCCTCTTCTGTCCTCCGTGGGCATTGCACAACACGGGTGTACTTACATGCAGGCAATACATGCATACACATAAAATAAAAATAATTTTTTTATGTCCTACTGAGGTAGATTACATTTGGTGGTCACCTCCTAAATGCTTGGCATGGTGAGTACAGTGGTGGAAAGGCAGACAGAATCTCTGCCCTGTGCCTGTTACAGAGTAGCCAGTGACAGGCAGTAAACAAGAAGTTAACTAATGATGAGCTTGGTGAGTCCTGCAGAATGGATGCTATGAAGGTGTTTGATGGGAGGCTTTACTACATTTGGTTTGGGGGTTAGGAAAAGTTTCTTTGTGAAATTGGTATTTAAGTCACAGATGAGTCTGAATCAGTCAAGAGACCAACAAAACAGAGAACAACATTTTAGGAGACACATGAATTAGACTCATAGACTACTTAACATCCTATCTAGCCCAAGATTCATAAACACTGATAGCACTCATGATCTATCCATGAAAGCCTTTCCAAAGGGAGCTGAAAGTCTTAAGTTTGGGTTTTGGATTTGAGAAGCAGAAGGAGTGGTTGAGGTGATAGTCAGGGACCGAGCTGGTGTGTTGAAGTCCACTACAGAGAGATGGGTTTGTTTGTTTGTTTTTCTTTTTTTTCCCAGCTAGTATTCCTTTCTTTCTTTTTTTCCCAAGTGCTGGGACTACAGGCGGGTGCCAGCACGCCCGGCAATTTTTTATATTTGGTTTTTAAAGAAAATGAAATATTGAGAGCCAGGAGAGCCAGGAGACAACCATCAGTTAGGAGTTTTTCAATACAATTCCCTCTTTGAAGTCCACTACAGAGAGATGGGTTTGTTTGTTTGTTTTTCTTTTTTTTTCCCAGCTAGTATTCCTTTCTTTTTTAAAATTTATTTAGTAACCACATGATTAGATGAAGCATTTCATTACAGCTTTAACATAGTAACAATTTCCAGAGCAAGGATATATCTCTTTCAAAAGTGGCTGTACATTTTTAGGTTCACAGCTGAATTAATACAGTTATACAATATTGAACTCAGTATAAACCCTATAAGACATAAAATTGATGTTTCCTGTGAGGCTCCTTTCCATACTTCTTGGGCACCAGGTCCTGATAGAACCAAGTCCTGGACATTTCCGCATTGACTCAGTAGTTTCTGTGTCTAGTACTTCTGAGGCTCACCAGGTCTGGCTCAACTAGAGGGCTTCTTTAGTGGTTCTCTGTTTTGAGACAGGGTCTCATTTTAGCCCAAACTGGCCTTAGTCTTGCTTTGTAACCAAAGACGACTTTGAGCTTCTGATCCTCCTGTTTCCACCTCCTTAGTGCTAGAATCACAGGGATGTACCACCACACCCAGTGTCATGCATGCTAAGCAGGCACTCTACCAGTGGAGCTGTGTCCCAGTTCGTTAGTGACTCTTCTCTCTACAGACTTTCTTGCCCGTTATATTCTACATAGTTGCCAGAGTTGGTGGCCCTCCTAAGTCATAATACTCCCTTTCTGAAAGGCCCCTGTTGCTTATAGTGTAAAGTTTAAGCCCTTCAGAATGGCCTGAAAGATTGTACCATCTGGTTATGCCCAGTAAGGCTTAAATCTTATCTCTTATCCCAGTGCACACAATCCAACTACTCTGGCCCCCCTGACGTTCCTCACATGCCAGGTGCCCCGATGTACCTTATTATTGCTCACGTCTCTCTTCCCACCTGGATTGTCCTTTACTCCAATCCCCCTCCATTGCTGATAATCTCCCCTCTACCCTTACTCTATGGCCCATTTCACTTGTCTTTGAGAATCCTATCCCTGCTCATCCTCTAGTCTTGTCCTGCCATGGGAGTTACTGCCTTTCTTTAGCCACTGTTCCTATTTCTGTAGAAACTCCTTGCAGACCAAGCCGTGACTTCTGTGTGTTTGTCTTGGCCCTGGGTCATGTGCTTCTCACCAAGTACAAAATGAAGCTGTGCAATTCTCAGAAAAAGCTCTGTCAGTATTCTCTGTAGTGAAAGTGGTTGGTCTTGGTCCAAGATTCTCCCTGATTTTCCAAGTAGGATTTTAAAAAAGAAATATTTACTGCATACCTATTATTTGCTAGTTACTAAGGATAATGGATGAAGTTAATTGCAGTCCCTACACCTTGTGAAGCTTACTTTCTAATGGGGAGACAGGAAAGCAGGGAGCTCATGCACTCCCTATATTACCCATCCAGTAGATATATCGTGGCTAAATAGTGTTCCAGGATAGCTTTGAATTGCTTCTTGTTTTCTTCATTCTCAGTATTAGAGATTGATTTTGCGGAGCTAACCTTGGAAGAGATCATCGGCATTGGGGGCTTCGGGAAGGTTTATCGTGCTTTCTGGATAGGCGATGAGGTGGCCGTGAAAGCAGCTCGGCATGACCCCGATGAGGACATCAGCCAGACCATAGAGAATGTTCGCCAAGAGGCCAAGCTCTTCGCCATGCTGAAGCACCCAAACATCATTGCCCTCAGAGGCGTGTGCCTGAAGGAACCCAACCTCTGCTTGGTCATGGAGTTTGCTCGGGGAGGGCCTTTGAATCGAGTATTGTCTGGGAAGAGGATCCCCCCAGACATCCTGGTGAACTGGGCTGTGCAGATCGCCAGAGGGATGAACTACCTACATGATGAGGCAATTGTCCCCATCATCCACCGAGACCTTAAGTCCAGCAACAGTGAGTATAGAGAGCTGGGCTGGGGTTAAGAGCAGCTGTACCCTCACTCAGTGGCTTCAGCCGGTATGGGTTCCCAGTAGAACCTTGTAGCAAAGCATTCTCTCCTTGAATGGAGACGTGGGATGGGATAAGTGCCAGAAACAGGTGACTTAGGAAAAGAGAAAGGCATCTGAGGGGCCTGGGATAATTTTGAACTGATATTAGTAGGCAGGGTTGGCTGGTAGTATTAGCCTCTTGATAGCCCAAGGGTGCTATTAATTAATTCCATAACTCTCAGTATTTTAATTGCAGGGAAGTGAGAAATAACTGTTCATTAAATACACAGAATCCATAAACTGGGTTGTAAAGTAAATGTCAGGTGTAATTAAATAGTAAGTTGGTATAGACTTAGTCTTGTGCCTAGACTGACAGAGGAGACAGGAGTATATACTTCTGTGTGCTTCCACTTGTCCAAACCAACTGTAGAGTGCGTACAAGGGATTAATGATATATATTTAAGATGACTTTGAGTATCTGTCCCAAAGAGAGGGGCATTTCAGGTGAAGAACTTTGGGGATGACACGGGCCCCAAGGACTTCACTCTTTGAACCCTTCTGCTTTGAGCCCAGAAATCCTTCAGACCTTGTTTTGTCCTGAGCTGCTCCAATTGTGACTTATTTTTCTGTGGATGCTATTTTGAGTCTGTTTACTTTTCAAAATATATTCTACAATTATATAAGAAGTAGTAGCTGTAAGAAAGTTAGAAAATACAAGAGAGCATTAATACATAATATTTCCCTTTGGATAGAACAGTTATTTCATCTGGCATA